CCATCAACAAGTCCTGTCACCGAGAACATGAGAACTTATCCCAATGTGGGAAAGAAACGATAAACATTTTCTTTAATAAAGGATATGGAATGTGTCAGAGATGCAATGTATTTATGCTTTTGGGGTGGTGTTTCCTAAATTCATGAAAAGGGGTCACCCCCCAAAACCCTAATAATAATAATATAGAATCTATATCTATGTCCTTTATTGTAATGTTGGGACCTTTGTGTGATATCCCACATGGTGTCTATTTGCTAGATCAGGTTTGACTCTCTTTTTTCTTCCAAAAAAAAATAATCCCATGAATTTTATTTGTATGTGCTTTGTCTTTTGGGTATAATAAATGAGATTAAAATGATCCTCAAGACAGGAACCCTCTCATTCCACTCACTTTTGTCTTGGGGAGCAACCGACCCTCTTGGCTATTCAGGGTCATACACAATATATACTAATCGTACACAAGAAAGTGAATGATTTTGTAGTCAATATACTAATGCAACATAACAAATATGTTAATATCATATTAGAAAGGCTTATGTCCCCATGTTAATATAATAAGCATGTTATCGGCACGTGGGCCTCCATTTAAGTGCAATTAGATAAACAACTAGTTAAGCTCATACAGTTCTTGCTCTTGGGGGAATAGAGAGTGGTAGAGAGTATGTATTAGATAGTTAACAACCTCTGTTTGATTTATAGGTAAACAACTATTCATCTATTCAGATAAAAAGAGAGTGAATAGTTAACAACCTCACTTTGTTCATCTGTTTGGGTGAGTGGTCCAGTGATTGTCAATCACATCGACCTCAGATTGGGTCACTCAGTGCTCGTTGAATCAACTCTCAAACATGTCCTCTTAATAATTTTTGACATTGCATGTGTCGTTAGGATGCGTTCATGGAAATTTTGAGGAGACATTGTCCAACAATCTTAAACTTACCGTACGGACTCGGGGTGATTTATTTTAGGGTTGAGTCGCCAAACCCGGAACCTATTCGCACAAAGTTCCTAGATTTTGGAACTTGAAACCAATTCGTAGACCCCGGAATCAACCTTGGACCAATCCTACTTGTCCAGTTTGGTTCTAGGGTCAATCTAGAGAACCGGCCAATTCTTTCTTTCTTTTTTTTCATTCTTTGAAAGGACAAACTTACCCCTTCAAAGCACATAACCATAATCATTGAGGTTTGCCCCAATAGCAACCCTTCTTACTTGAGAAGGGGGAGGTGGAGAGTTCGAATCCCCACCTTCTCAGGGGGGCTAGGGTTGGGGAATTGTAGTTTCAAATATGAGTTTTCGACTCCCACGCCCTACAAAAGGCAGGGTAAAAGTCTGAAAGTGAGTTGATAGTTAGAGTAGGACAGACCAAACAAAAAACAAAGTACATAACTATGAACACTCAATATTTATAACTATGATACTTAGTAACAAAAGGCGAGAAGTAGAACACTGGTAGAAGCCAAATAGAAATATAAGGTAATAGGGAATTATCCAACTCATCCTTATAATCAAGCAAAACGGTAGATAAAGCAACAAGAGAAATCTCCACTCGCCAAAATAACAACCCATAAAAGATGAACACGTAAAATAAAATAAGTTCTAAACATGAAACATAAAACATGAATTATAGAACTTCATTCTTCATTCATCCATAAAAAATTGCTCCAATTCTAACCACTTCAAAACAAACAAATAAAACATAATTAAATTGGACTCGGTCTAGGGCGGGTCGGGTCGGACCAGAATCCGTCCAAGGTTAGTCTGCCAATCTGATTCAGCACCTTGATCCTGGAACCGAACTGCACAATGCTGGTTCCCAATTTTTGGGACTGAGGACAGGTTCCCCGCGAAACTGAACTACACAGTCCCAGTCCGGTCCAGTTCCAAGGTCTACCCTAGATCGATGCTCACCCCTAGAATGGATATCAATTTAGTTCTAGACTTTACAATTTGATCAATTTAGTATTAAACCTTTGCACGAAATTCCTATGTAGTCCTTTCGGCCAATTTCCGCCAAAAATCATTGATGTAGTGATGTGCTACATAGGACGGCCAGAAATGATTAGACCTCTACATTAGTGATTTCCAGTGAAAATTAACCAAAATGATTATATAATTTACACACAAATTTTTAGGACTAAATTAGTTAAATTGAAACGTTTAGAATTAAATTGGTATCGGTTCAAAAAGTTGATAGACTGATGCGCAATTTTTCTGAAATTTTGATGTTCCCCTCTTTGCTGAGACAGTGAGATTAATAGCCCACACGTTACTGATACCAATAGTAAAAAGGGTAGAGACCCCAATAATCTAGATCTTCAATTACTCGAATCACCGTCTTAGTAAGCCGGTCGCTCGAATGATATGTACAACTCTTTTGATAGCTCACAAACCCCACGATTCCCCGGGAAAGATAGAGAATAAAGAAAAGAATAACAAGTAACAAATTCTCAAAGAAACAGCTTTAGGTAATAATTTAAAAATACCTTTGAAGTTTTCAAACTAGAATCATTTTGATATGTTCCAAAATATAGAACGTATAGCATCCTTGAACGTCAAGTTCCAAATGGAGAATATATGTTTCAATTCATAGATTCTTAAGCCAATAAAATAAATTTAAAAGACATAAATCAACTAAACACTAATTCTGGCATCATATAGTGATCTGGGCAGTGCAATCCTAAGTCTCTCAGCTAGAAAAAGTTCAAAAAAGGTCCCATATTCGATGTACCATATATAATCAACCACTAAACATTTTGATTTGTGCGGTCAAGTTCTAAACTGTTGATGCAATCAAATCCCTAGACCATCGGTAGTGAAGCGATCGTAGGCGTCCGCAACAACTGAAGGGTTCTTGAAATTTTGAGTGGCTGAAGTTGAAGCAACTACCATTTAGTCAATTATTTCACCTACATGACCAAAAAAATTATCAGCTTGTTAAAAAAAATTAAGACTTAATTAGACTGTGTTTATGGATTTTTTTTTAGTGATAAGATTTAGGCCTTAATTGCACCTAATTGAAATGGTGTAAGACAGGGTTTCACTTTTTGATGTATTCCCTTTTGATAATAATGAGAGTCAATTCTCTTAAATATATGACATGTCCTACCAAAAACATGAATTGATATGTCCTAACTAAATTGCTAAATTCAAAATGGAAACAATATACTTTAATTCCTATTTGAATGTAGGTCTTAATCTCCCACTTTGCTATTTCAATTGAATTTGGGATAATTTCTTCAGCATCTAACATGTCGCCATTTTGACTTTTCTATTTCCGAGTCAAGCATTCGCCAACAAGAGCTCCCCATGTGGCTACGTTGGAAAAGTGAGCGCCTCGAACAATCTTATTGTCCACGAGAACGGGACCAAAACCATTTGTGCATACAAGTTGGGGACTAAGGGGGCGTTCGGCAAATTGCCAAATAATGAAAATTTCTGTTCTTTTATTCTCAGAATCAGTTTTGGAACAGAATCAATAAGCAAAAAAAAATAGTTTCTTGATTCTGGAACAATTTTTCCATTTATGCTTCTTCTTGATTTTCTTTTTCCTTTTTGATTTGTTCTTCTTCTTCTTCTTCCCGGTCTGCCACTGGCTAGGGCCAGCGAGGGCAGCTCGCGGCCTCGCCATGGCCGGGCGAGGCTCGACCTCGCCCAGATCTTGCAAGGCCAACCTCGCTGTCGCGACCGGTGAGGGCCGCGACTCCCTCGTCGGCCTTGGCCTGTGGCCAATCGCTGGCACCGGCAACTGGCCACGGCCAAGGAAGGGAAGAAAAAAAAAGAAAAAAAAGGAAAAATAAAGAAAGAAATATTTAAAAATTCAAAATATTATTAATAAAAAGAAATTTTGTGTAATTACCAAACACATTTCTATTCATTTTCTATTCTAAGAATAGAAATATTGGACAGTTATCAAATACCTTCAAATGCTTAGAAATTGTTCCCGGGCACAGAATCAAAAAGAATCATTTCTGAGTAAAATCAGTTGCCGGGCATAGAATCGTTGCCATGCGCACCCTAAAATTTACCCTAAGAAAGAAAGAAAGAAAGTCGAAGGACCAAATTGTAATAAGGGTAAAAGTTGAGGGACTAGATTTTTGCTAGCCAGCCCTTCCTTAAATTCAAACGAGGTCCGATCTTATGCAACCGAGTACGTTAATTTAGAAAGCCCACTTTAATTAGGTAAATCTTGAATCTATGAAATATTCTACTAACCTCATTATCCGGTTAAGACGCAAGCCCAAACCCAAGTAAGTAACCCAAATACGAAATCATTTGCATTGGTAATACGAAGAATTGAATATGTGTTAGTTCCTTAACTATTTAGCCAATCCCAGATGATTTAACTTGACAAACTATAGACATAAGATTGCACATTGGCATGTAAATGGTAAACAGTGAACCAACAATGATACTTCTTTATTTTCCAATGTCCATCTAAACTTAAGTTCGTGCCCCCACCCTGTAGAAAGGAACCTTGCCATCATTGTTGGACCAACAAAAAGACTCATATATATAAATCCTTTACTTACACATCATCCGTCTATTTTCTTCATTCAAATGTGGGATGACTTGTTTCCTTTTCAAGACGTGGTTCCACAAACACAGGCTTTTCCTGTCGATCCAAGGATCTTTGTTATGTCCAATGTCCGTAGGATACACTAATATAGTCTTAGAAAGAAATGACGGTTCCATTGATAGAATGAATATAAAATTACTAAAAATGAAAAACACACATAATTTCCTGCTTGACTGCTGCTGAAAATTAAGGGTTTTTTCACCGCGTGAGGACGAAATAAAAGTGCATAAACTATATATATGTTGTTGCAAATTGTGGGGACGGTCCAAAACAAGATATTATAAAGTACTACCTTCATGTATACAGAAGAATTCATGCGTAGTCATTTTCAACGTCCTTGTTTTGGCCAACGAGACATCTTCTATAAAGAATGCAAAAACGTGAGTAGTTCTTTTTATCTGTTTGATACAAATAAATCATCAAAGCACAATCTTCTGCTTACATTATGGGAAGAAGGGTAACACTCCACTCATCACAATTGTTTGAAGAACATCACCATTCATCACTAGCTATCCAAAAAGAAAAGGCCAAAAAAAGGGGTTGAGAAAAAAGAAAACCCATTTCAAATTATCATTAAAATATCTGCATTGACCCCACCACTTGCCCACTCTGGAAATCCTTCCCTAAATGTGAATAATTCAAATTCCCCATCGCTGTCGTTGCCGCCGCCGCTTCCGCCGTCGCCGGAAAGCCGATGCCCATTTGCTTGCTATTGTTGTTCACGGCAGCTTCCTCTAGACACTGCACTTGCTTCTTCAAGAACTTGACGTAGTGAATCGCCTCGTCCAACATCGAGGCCGTGTCCATCTTCGTGCCACCGGGGACGAGTCTCTGGAGTATCCTTATCCTCTCGCTGATCCTCTCCCTCCGGTGCCGCGCCGCCACGCTCTGCGGGTCCTTCGATATCTTCACGTTCCTCCGCTTGGGTGGCTTGATCGACTCCGGATCGATGTGGATCGGTTGCATCGCCGCGATCCGGAATATCATCTCCCTCATCGCCGCCATCGAATTCCTCTTCTCGTGCGACGAACTACCGGACAAATACGCGCCCATCAACCCGCCCGCCGGCGCCGGGCCACCTCCGCTCTTGAAAAAATTAGGCGGCAGGGGGGCGGAGGCCGGGTCATGAACCGGGTGGTTGCCGATGAACGAGACGGTGGCAGGACTTTGAGATATTGGCGCGACGGGGCTTCGTTGGTGGAGCGGCGAAGGGTACCTCCCCGCCGCGGGGCCCGTCGGGCCGGAGAAATCAGACGGGTCGTGATGCGAGGCGTCGTAGAGGTCGGGATACTTCCCGGGCTGCATCAATATCTTCATGATGTCCATGTGATCTTCCGGCGACAACTTGATCATACCAACATCCATGAGAAGAGGAGAGAGCGCGAGAGGGAGTTTGATTATTAGGGCTCTTTTCAGGGATAAGAGATGAGATGGAAGCGAAAGAGAGGGTCAAAGGTAAAGATTTCTCTGCAGGAATAAGGATGTGAGAGGAAGAAAACGAAAAGGATGTACACAACAATGGAGGTTAAAAGCTCTGTGGGGATGGATTATATCTAATAGACCGACCATCAAAATCGAGCAGCGAAGGTGGAAAGTGGACGGGGGTAGCTTTATATAGCAAGTTGTTGGCAATATAATATAATTTACTGGTAAATAAACCCAGAAAGTAAAAAGAAAAAATAAGAACAAAGAAAGGAAAAAGAAGTTCTTCTCTCTCATTTACGATGAGCCTATGATTTAAGCTCCAATTATGTGGGGCTACCACTAAAAAGAAAAACCCTAAATATCTTAAAGAGTGACTCTGGGGTCTGAAACTCTGGTTTCATCACGTGTGTCGACATGAAATGGGGGTATCAATTACTCTAGGCAATACAAAAATGAATTTCTTGCCTCGAACATGACAGAATAATTAGATTTGAAATTTAAATGCCTCATCGGTCGGATCAGCTAAATCAGCAGGGCTTCACATGCGTCACTTGAATATAGAAGACCATAGTAACCGTTTGAGTGAATTTGAAAAATACATGTCAGTTTGTAGGAAAAATAATTTTTTTCCTATGAAAGTAGGAAAAAAAATTCAAGGTATAATATGGGTTTGAACACAAATACACAAAGGTCAACCATATGATGAAAATGGAAGCTGGATGTGAAATTTGCAGAAAAATGTAAAATCAATCAGTTCTCACTTAAACTGGAAATATATACATATACATGTGCACATATACATCAACTTGTCGATCTAATTTTGGATATCAAGTCATGAATCTAGGGCAAGTACAACTCATCTGGAAAAAGGCTGACGATTGGATGGCTGGGGTTAAAGAGAATGACAGTAGAAGGAAAGGTGCATGAACCCCATTTGCTTTCTCACAAAGAGAACCCTTTTCTTTTGACAAATTTTATAAAGAAAGTACACTTTATGCCTTAGAAACAATTCACCTTTCAAGCCGGAAACATTACTACAAAACCCCACAATCACATGAACTTTGTCAGACGAACCACCCCCCATCTATCTCAGCTTTGGACCGCCGATTTCATGACCACCCGCAGCGGAAACTCCGGCGACTCTTTGTTAGGTCTAGACGTGTTTCCGTATTGCTCATGTTATTCGATAGGAGATGGGTATATGTGCTAACACATGACGATGGGAACGTAATAGATAACACCCAGTGTCAAAATGTTAATCATACATCTTCGCTTATAACCACGAATTTAGAACATGGATTATTCCCTCTTATAGAAAGTCATGATGATGAATACTTTACACAAAGATGAATATGGAAAATAAGTTTCAAGTTTTTTTTTGTCTCCCTTTGGCTTTGTAGTAAAGGTAAAGTGCTTTTGGTGGGTTGGGGACGTATATGACACGCGCAGACCACTGGTAATAACACCCAAGTTGACGTTATTATCTGCAAAGAACTTTTGTGGCACGCCCTTCAAGGCGGATCAGGGGGATTGACGGTGGAGCAAATATTGTCTGCACTGAGCTCAACTCACATCTGCCGTCAAGATAGGCAGATCTCGTACGAAGTCCATCTCATCCAACGGCCCAGATGAGCTGAGCTCACATGAATCGAGTTCACTGAGGACTCCACTTCCTGACAGCGACGGTGATGCCAGCCCCAAATTTTAGTAGAAGCGATGTGCACTTTTTCGTCAGTTTTTACCAGTTTTTACGTCCTTTTACCCTTTTCGAACTGGCGAAGCCTCCTCCGATTGGTTACCAAGTAGCAGCAGAACCAGCAGCAATCTGTGACTGACTCTTCTCTATCTGTCTATTCAGTTTTTTTTTTTAAATTCTTGATAAGCCTTTTTCAGTTTGCAGCAACTTGTGAAAGGTTTTATGGGAGGTGTGGATCTTGATGGCCTTTGACAATTCGAGAACAACCCACCGATTGTCAATCTGTCCACGCCAATGAAGTTTGGGCAAACAGGAAAAAAATCATCTTAAAATATCTTATCATTACCATTTTGCGTCTTGTCTTTTTAAAAAATACGTATCTTTGCATCTCAAATCAAAACTAATCGCTAGAAAAAAGTGATAGAGGATACTTTTGAAAAGAAAATGACGATTTGCTAAAAAAAATGTGCTTGCGGTGAGATGAAATGTGGTACCTAAGAATGCAAATGAGAGTGCACAAGTGCATTTTGAATAATGTCAAGATGCACGGAGATATTATGGTGAAATTTTATTAGTTTGAGATGTTAGGTGGACAGGACACTCATCTACGTGTTGCTTTTGCCGATCATTTCCTCAAATACTTGTACTCCTATCGAATCATAAATAAATATATATAGACATCATCTTCTATTGAAAAGTACACATTTAAAGGTTTGTGCTTTTAAGAAAATTTGTATTGGAATTAAAGCGGAATGACATGTTTCTTAATCCCTCGAGAAGTCTCGATTGTTTTGTATACAAGGTTTGAAGTCTATGTGATGGGATTATTATATTTTCCAATGTTGTCAGTTGTCGGGTGTTTAAGAAGTCTCAACTACCCCAAAATTGATACTAGAAAATGTTTCCAATAGCAATTATAAAGTGTTTTATAGCAAGCTAGTGAAATAAAGAAAACATAACATTTATGTTTATAGGAACAATTTCTTTTCAGAAATAGTTTTTTCTATTTATATACACAGGATGAGTTTCTAAGCAAAATAACGTGTTTGGTAACTACACAAAATTTCTATTCTCGACATAGAAAGAGAACAGAAAAGTGTTTGGTATGACCCTAAATTTTTTTTGTGACAAGAAATTTTTTGAATTTTTTTCTTTTCTTTTTTTCCTCTCTTCTTCTTCCTCCTCTAGCCAGTCACCAGGCCTCGACGATGACTGGTGACCGTCCAGAGACAAGAGCCGGCCTCGAGTGAGCCTCACGGTGGCTAGATGAGGTCGGCCAAGCCTAGCCATCGGCCATCACCGAGGCCCGGCAACCGGCTAGAGGAGGAAGAAGAAGGAAGGAAAAAAAGAAAGGAAAAAAATGGACTTGATTCATAAATTGTTCCCAGGAACAAAGACGTAGATTTTTTTTTACTTCTTGTTTTTGTTCCAAATCTATTCTCTAGCCACTTTTCTATTTTGGGGAATAGAAAAATTAACTGACGTTACCAAACGAATTTATGTTCTTTTTATGTTCCGGAGAACAAAAGAACAAAAAAATAGAAAAACATTATGGTTAGCAAACGGGCCCTAAGTATTCTAAAACTTGACAAGAAAGTGTGATCAAAATCCTAAAATTTATATGACCAAAACAAATTTCTAAAACTTCCAAATAGTGTAATTGGGTCCTAAAACATGTTCAATCAGTGTAATCAACGGCTTATGCTCACTCCGTCAAATTTGGATGTCAAAAATATACTGACGTGACTCTTCTTATTTCTTATTTTTAACTGCACTCGGCGTCCGCTTAGCATACATTAGAAAAAATATCAAAAATGACAAAAGAAAAACCAGAAAAGAAATACAAACCAAAAAAGAAAAAGGGGGGCCAGAAAAGTTAAAGCTCAAAATTTCAATCTCTCAAGTACCATGGTTTATCTGACCCAAAAAAAAAAAAAGTACCATGGTTTGTGGTGCAGTGCACCAAACAGTGAACACCTCTCATCATCAATGTTACTAACACTCGATGCTACGAAGAAGCATCAATGATGCCATCGTCGATACAGAGAAGAAGTGATGGATTTTGACCATTGGCTAATTTGGGGTTTTGGGATTAGCAAAAAGAGAAGCTTATCCCTATAATGGATGCCATGAAAATTTCAGCTGAAGCACTTCATCGAGACATATCTAATATGATGGGAAATTGCTTATTATAATTTTTTTTTTGGTAAGGATAAATTGCTTATTATAATTGATAATTGGAAAATATAAGAAATATATATATAACTCACCTTTCACCCAGTTATCACTTATACACCTTTACGGTTAAAAATACCGAATATACACCTAATTTTTATCTTCAAAGACCCCTTTGCAGTTTGCACTTTCACATCAATTATCTTATGTCTCTATTTATGAAATGCAATTTTTCTTTTAAAAAACGCTCCTTCACAAATCGTAAATTCTACTTATCAAAACATTCAAAATCAAACCACTCAATCCCTAAGCATGATGTTACAATGAGTTCTTTTCAATGTCAGATTTTGCTTAGAGATGTGTGAATAATAATCGGGAAAAAAATAGAGAATATGTTAATAGCCATTAAATCAAAAGTGGGGTATATTTTTTTTATATTTTCTCGAGATAGAGTTTGGTAGCTATTGCACATTATTCTGTCACATTGACTTTCAGATATGGGGCTTGCCCTTGTGGCAAACTGTTGACTATGGGGAAGAACATATAGGATCAAGTTTTCCCATGAAAGTTTCCAATCAATCTTTTGTAACTCGATGTAACTTTAAGCCTTTATCTTCATGCTCTAAGCCGACGGTCCATCTCTCTACGAAAGCAAACACTCGCCTAGACTCAGCCCACCGAATTACACAAATCATTTATCGAATATTCGAAGTAAATACGAGTATATATTATGCTCAAACTTATAAATATAACCCCTTGTTAAAAAAAAAAACCGAAGCTTATTCCGCCCCATAAATTTAATTTCAACTTGTGTAAAGTAACATGTTCGTTTGTGCACATGAAGAAATGAGTGCTGCTGTCAGAATATTTCCCAAAATTATTATACTCAAATAATAATTCTTCCGAGCTGTGGGAAAATTAGAAAATTTAATAGCAAATTCAAAAAATCTCCCCCCTTATCGCGTCCTGCTAACGGGGCCCGTTTAGCGAGCAGAAGATAACAAAATTTAATGCCACCCAAAAAATCATACAATAAACAAAATTATCACTGCAAAATAATAAAAATTAAAAAAAAAAATCTCCAGGAAGCGGTCCAAATTCTAAAGTCTCTTTCCATCATTACGTCGAAAATTCGACAAATTTTTATTTTTCCCTTTTTGGGTCCACTCCTCAATTCTTACCTTAAATAGGCAAATACCAAAGGGTCACTGTAAATCCTGTCTGTTCAGATTTGTCTGTCCATTTTTTGCTTTAATTATTTAGAAATTATTTCTTGCAGGAAGACAGAAAAAGAAAAGATTTTTCACGCTCTCAGG